TGGACTCACCTTTGAACCTCTTCAGTGATCATTCCTTTGGACGAGGAGCTAATGCGGTCCGTTCAACTAGATTGTGCAGTTTATCGCGCTGTTGAAAACCCGAGTGTATGGCCTAATATGTCGCTTTGGTGTAATAAACTTAGTTTATATTGGTTTATCCGTACCTTTTGGGGTTACTATGTAAAACCTGGTTTATGTGTAAACCTTGTTTGTGCTGGACTCAACTATGCTGTAATCTGGGTTTAAACTCCGACTTGCGTAGTTAACTTTCAGAGTTTGGGCTCGTGTTGTGTCCACCCGTATAAGTACTATACTGAAGAATTCGGAAATTGACAATATAGCTGTGTATTTGTACACCCTTATTATCCCTCACTGGTTGATGTGTTTCATGTGTGTAGTAGTTGCACGCCGCTTGCTTTTATGTATCAAGGCTTGTCTTCTGTTTTGAAGCATCGAATGTTGATACTAGCTTTCTGCTGATAGTCTTTCTAAGGGTGTTAGAGTGATACGCTTGTTTATTCTAATTGTTATCTAATTTATAGCTTCATATAATAATTCTAGCTTGTCCAATCGAGATTATACTTGCAGTTTCAAGCCCGGAGTGAACTTTAATATATTGGTTTGTTGTTTTCTAGGTCTTATGAGCTATGCAGCGGTGTTTATGTCTGAGTGGTTGGTACCATTTGCCACTTGCTTGTGTGAGGGTTATGTTAACCCTTCCACACTCGAACATTTAATGAGGTGTATATGTTGAGTATGACTCGTTGCCATGCCTAATATAACTGGGTGTTCAATGTACTGACAATGATGTATATCTTTATTTTATTTCGAGTGTTGTGCTATTGTTTGCGGCTTTATATGTCCGGATAGACGTCACTGGTACTGTATAAATATACTTTCGTGTTTATCGATTCACTATGCTAAGAAGTGCTGATTCCATTGATAAGCACAATATAATGGGCTGTTCAGTATATTGATGACGTCTATGTATTCCTCTTTTATATCGAGTATTGTGTTCGTGGTCGTGGCTCCACATGTCAGGGTATATTTACCTATATCTGGTGATCGATTCACCATGTTTTGAAGTGCTGATTCTTTGATATTTTCCCGACGAATGCTGATCAAAATCAATATAGTTATTGATGGATAGTCATGTACTCTTCCCCTATGTAGCTGTGCGCATAATACTTGTTGTTTTCTTTTTCACCTCTACACTTGTACGCACAAAAGCTATGGACTAAACAATATACCATGTAACAATGTTTGACACTCAATATTTAACACGAAATGACTAGCATTCGATCGATTACTGGTAGAACTTGTGTTTTTTTTTGGTAAGTAATTGTGTGGACAAAGTACCCTAGACGAATATTGAGAACCGGACGAGAGAACCAGGACACCTGAGAGTAGTTTAGAACCTGGTCAGAGGACCGGACCTAAAGGTTTTTATTTAAGGACCGGACCAGAAAAACGGACCGATTAGTGGAACTGAGAATTTAATAAGATAGAAGTGATGACTAATCCGAAACCATAGATAAGGGTATTTTCAAATTACCCGATGATAGAGAAAGTTTCGTTTCGCATGGGATCGTGATTAAAAATAATAGCAGGCGCGCCATTCCCAAAGGCAATTCTGTTGACCGAGTTCACTTATTTTAGACAACTCTTTGCTAAGTGTTACCTGTGTTTGACCACATTTCAAGTGACCGAACTACTGTATGTATTCAACGTTCTTTACAGGCTAAGCTAACTATTTTTTGGTACCATGATGAATATATTTTCTATGTGTTCGATTGTTGAAACGACTGCTTAGATTTTATCGGCAATCGCCATCGCGCGTGGAGACATAATTTTCATCTGATTCAATACTGGATGAAGAAATCAAGGTAGAGGTCCATGCTACAGTTCGACCATTTTATATCTGAGACTCAACAATCGATTTCTACGTTGGACAAGGCCGTACAACATATTGAAGGGGTTATCAAGCCGAACGACATATGTAGAAAAAAACAAACAAACAAAAAACATAGCCTTCTAAATTGGACAGAAGTCGGTTCAATTTAGAAGTAAATTGGACAGAAGTCAGTTCAATTTAGAAGGCTACGCAAAACAAAAAAACTAGGGAGGTTATTCGCTAATTCGGCTATTAATTCGAAAATTTCGGGAATTTTTAATAGTATGGGTTGACACGTCTTAAGGCAACGGCACAGCCTGGACGGATGCAGACTATGCTATTGACTACACAGGGGCTCACGAGATAATTTTCAGGTGCCAACCAAAACCTATACGTTCCGAACTTAACAATCACACGAACGATACAACTTCATACTATTTGGCCGTCTGGTGTGGACAAAGTACCCTAGGTAAATATTTAGGACCGGACCAGAGGACCGGACCTGAGAGAAGAGTTTTGAACCGGACCAGAGGACCTGAGAGAGGAATTTAGGACCGGGCCAGAGGACCGGACCGATTATTGGAATATAGGATTTAATGAGAGAATGGGTTCTCTCGACTCATCGGATGTCATCATAATTCAGTAACTAGGAGATGAAAACTATAGTTACGATTATTTTTACAATCACCCGTTGTTAGAGAAAATCTCGTCCCACAAAGGAACGTGATTAATAATTACCGCAAGCGCGCCGTTCATAACGGCACTTCTGACTGAGTTCACTTTTGTCTTTAAACTTAACACTCTTTACTAAGCGTTACTTGGTTTGACTACACTTTTAAGTGACCGAACTACTGTATTTATCATACTACGTTCTTTAAACACTAAATTATCTAAGGAACGATTTAGTAGTTTTGGGTTGTTTTTGCTTACGATAATGAAGGGACCCAGTACTACACCGATACCTAAGATAGGGAAGCAGATTTGTGACCGGCTATCGAAACGATTGCACTGAGTTCACTTTTTTTCAGACTTAACACTCTTTACTACGCGTTACTTGGTTTGACTACACTTTTAAGTGACCGAACTACTGTATTTATTATACTACGTTCCTTAAACATTAAATTATCTAAGAAACTATTTAGTTTTGATTTTTTTCTTCTTTGCTTCCGTAAATTTCGATGTATATTTCTATGTTTTAAACTATGTTATATAAACTAAGATACAATTTAAGTCAGTTAGGATTTAGCAGTGGTAGCTTATGTAAGAATGATCGGGACTGCCTCTTGGTACGGGCCTTAATATCATCGATCACACAGGATGTACCTCTAGCTGTTCTTTATTGAATAATTTTCACTAGAAGTACTAAGTCTTCCTGACCACATGTCTAATTTGTAGGTAGACATAAGAACGTAAGTCAAGTTAATGCATTAGCTAATATAAATAAAGTTCCATCTGAAGAAAAGTTAAAAAAAGAAAAAGACCTATTGGATTTTGGAGATTAGCGGGAAGACCAAAACCTGTAAGTAGTAGTTCAGAGATTATAAAATTTAGTTTATAATATCCTAAATCTACTATCGTCTCAAATAGATCCAAGTAAATGAGTCATACCAAATACTCAGGCTATTGGAGCCATCAAAGTGAATTTAGAACACTTAGGAAATATTAGAAAAAGAACTTGTATTAAATTATTTTAAATACAAAAAAAAACCAAAGTGTTATCTCATTTGATCTTGATATTTTAGACTGACCGGAGGCCGTATTTCTACACTTACTATATTAAATGAAGGGTCCCAGTACTACACCGATACCCAAAATAGGGAAGCAGGCATGTGGCCGGCTATCAAAACGATTGCTTGGAGTTCTTAGTCGATTACCTTTAATTGCGCTGAGGTGGAAACAACATTTGCTAGTAGGGAATCAACGCCTGAGGATGAAAAGCAGGCAGAAACCCACGTGACACTGGCCTGTTTGGTTTTGGAGTCTCAACACTCGATTTCTATGTTAGATATGGCTAAACAACATCCGGAGTGGATTTCAGATCAGGACGGACACTTGAGAACGATGATGCACGTGCAGGAGGCCACGGAAATTATTTGTCTCATTCGTGAACAACTCCGCCAACTTCGTGAATTTTCAATGGCGAATGTTGACAAGTCCACGTTCAACGACACGGTCCAGACAACATCGGGTGATGATTTTCTTGAGCAACAGGTACAACCAACATCGCAGGACTTCTCAATACCCACCGCAGGCATGGACGACACCAACTGGCCGGTTACCTAGCAGCGTGGCTGACAATATGAAGTAAATCAGCCCGGTGAAACGCAAAATTGACCGCACGAGGCCCGAACCTTAGGTGGCTCCTTACAATAATGTACACGTTACTGTACCCGAAGAGAGCGGATGTTGAAACACGATCAAAATCGAGCACAACAAATTCCGACCCCTGATGAGATGCCGACTGACTTTTGTGGTTTGAATCAAAATCAGGAATCGAACAATGTGAAGGAATCGCCTGGTAGAAATTTTTGGAACCAGCGGATTTGCACTTGGACATGAACACTCCTCAGAATTTATTGTCGTCGTACTTTTGATGCCTTCCACAGAGTGATGAAGTCTCCGCGGCAGCATCTTTACCAAGGTCACGTGGCAGCGAACCTACTTCATGACAAGCTGCAAGGTCACCGTCGCCCACGCTCACCAGAAGAGTTAAAGTTGTGGACAAAGTACCCTAGGCGGATATTTAGAACCGGATCTGAGGACCGGACCTTACAGAGGAATTTAGGACCGGACCAGAGGACCTGACCGATTAGTGGAATAGAGAATTTAATGATATAGAGGTGATAACTCATCTGAAACCATAGAGACGGGTATTTTCATATCACCCGATGGTAGAGAAAGTCTCGTTCCACATAGGATCGTGACTAATAAATATAGCAGGCGCGCCATTCCCAATGGCACTTCTGACTGAGTTCACTTATTTCAGACTTAAAACTCTTTATTAAGTGTTACTTGGTTTTGACCACATTTTTAAGTTACTGAACTACTGTATATATTACATTACGTTCCTCACAGGTTAAGCTAACTAAAACCAATTAGTTATGTAATTTTTTGTTACACGATGAATGAAGTTACTACGTGAACAAGAAAGCCTGTGTTCGATTGTTGAAACCACTGCTTGGAATTCATCTGCAGTCGCCATTGCATACTGATGAGGTGGCGACATAATTTTCCTCTGATTCAATACCGTATGAGATACCAATGCAGAGGTCTATCCTACGCTAGACCATTTGATTATCTGAAACTTAACAATCGATTTCCACGTTGGATAAGACCATACAGCATTTGAAAGGGGTTATCAAGCGGAGCGAGAACTTAGGGCTGATGACGCATGTGCAAAATGCTAAGGAGATAATTTTGCTATTTCGGCTACTAAGTCAAAAATTCGGAAATTTTTCGTATATGGGTTGACTCGGCTTAAGGCAATGATACAGTCTGGACGGATATGAACCATATAAATGAGAGGAACTCACGACAAATTTGGTCAGATGCCGACCGGATTCTACGAGCTCTGAACTTACCAACTATACGCATGGGACAACTTCATATTTTTGTACATCTAGGGCTGAGCCAGTCATCACTGTGCAGGAGCTCGTGGATGTGATTAATTCAGTTAAAATATATGCTGGTGGCTAAAGGACAACACTACAAGCTAGTATTGGGTAGAACTGATACAGAGTTGACTTGGAATTTCAGGACGATATGCATCGATTGCATAAAAGGTTTAAGCTTACACGGATATAAAACTTGTCGAAGGTGGAAGTGCTTGCTTGGACACATATTCAACTTGTCGAAGGTGGATGTGATTGCTTGGACAACAACAGAGATTTGCAAGGAGACTGTATTACTAAGGTTGGGGGCAGGCGTTGATGTAAATTTTCCAAGGACGTCAATAACCGTCGTCATCACAGCTCAGGGATATTCAACGCATACGGCAGACACTAACAGAAAGTCCTTAGAACAAATTTGCGAAATATCACTTTTTTTCTTCATATTTATGTGACATGACGCGACGGCACCTCGATTGGCGGCGAGGTAGAGACTGGCGGTGACGTATAAGGTTTGTTTATGACAACATGACCTATGTGTAGGTTGGCTTCAGTCGTTACACTTGGAAATGATGTCCGTCAGTTACAGGCCGGCCAATCATTCCACAGGAGAGTAAGGATATTCTCAGTAGTGCTTACACAATGTGGTAGCATATACGACGTGCGAGCATACGAGTGACAGTGATTAATTATGCTACAGGCGGCACGGCTGGTGGCATGGTTCACTGT